GAAGGACTGGTCATTTCTTGCTGAATCTTGATTGTTGACCACATGATGCTGAATGGTCATTTTTCCTTTGGTTTTTATTAGGGGCACATTGTGCTTGTGTTTTCCGGGGTCCCCACTGTAAGCATTGCCAAAATAACTAATGGTGAGATAAAACGGATGTCTTTGAGACCCATGAAAAATTTTCCTCTAAGAGATCCAGTACCTGAGGAAGCATCAAGGAGCCAGTCTTTTTGGCATTTCTGGATCTCTTCTGAATGACAAGGGGCAAACTCCTTATGCTGTGCCAGCTGTTTTATGCCCGTTTGCTCCCAACAGCCGTTTAGCAGCAAGAGCACAAAGTCTGCCTGGAGGCTGTTACATTCTCTACAGCTAATGACAAGACATGGTTTTAGCAGCTTGTATAAAACATTGCAAGGAGTTCATCCCACCCCCTCTATGAAATATTAGAGTGAAGAAGGCTTTTGGATGCTCTCGCACTAAACCAATTGCTATGCCCAAGAATTAATAAAATCCATATTGAAGTGACAGCTGGTGGACAGAGCTGGCTTCTTCCTGCATCACTTGGCTCTCTAGTGGCTCATGTTCTGGGCTCAATGCACATTCATCCTTTTATTGTGGCATTTATTGATTTTTATTTATTTATTTATTAAATCTCTGTTTCCTTAAGATTCATAATTGCACTGTTCAAAATCTAAGTTTCATCATATCAGCACTATCTATTAACATATTTCTTTCCTTTTTGTCTTTAATGACTGACCTTCCAAAGGCATTCAGTGAATGAAATAAAAATGCAGACAAGTGAGAATATATTTTTTCATCATGAATTGGTTTCTGTACTACTTTGACTGTTTCCTCTCTTGTCAGTGTATGTGAGTTCTTTTCCTTAATCCATGATTTCTTTCATTTTCCTCACTCCCTAATTTATATGTATATTTTTCAAGCTGACAGAAACTTCAGACTGACTCAGTAGAACAGTGGAAAGTGGGTGTCACAAAGGTAGGGATTCAAATGAACTTTAGAGCAGAAATTCGTTTGCTTGTTTATTTATGTTGGTTTTATATGGTAAGTGGCAAGAAGAGATAAAGACCATTCTTTTCAAGGGAGAAAATGTTAACTGTTGTTTTCTAAGGAAGTGGGGTTCAATCATTGTCTCTGTCAGTCTAGGAAATGATTTCTCTTTTGAGACACAGAGAAAAGACAGACCAAGTCTGCCTTTGTTTTCTGGAACTCTGTAACCTGGGTCATCCAGGTAATTACAACTTTACTTAAGAAACAGAGTGTGTGGGAGAAAAAATCTGCTACTGCTTGTAAGCACAAAGGAAAGACACTTGAGAGAATTAAATTGCATGATGATTTTTATAGGGCATATGAATCATTTTGCATTCCACCTCTAAAGCAGAAAATGATGACTTTAATATCATATTGTAGGATGACACTGGTAAGTCTCTCAGAAGGCAGCTATGGCATTCAGAGATATTGGAGCCTGGTTATTCATTATTTTCTGCTTAAAGGCTGGAGCAAATGATGCTATGAGACTTTGACAACTGCCTATTTATTCCCATTCTTACCTGTGGGTGCTACTGCAATAGAAGCCCTAATGGGGGTGGGTTCTGCTGTGTACGTGCTGACAGATACCCTTGGAGTGTAAGAGCAGACAGCATTGGGTTAAGTGTGTTTCTGTGTGCTCCTGTAAATGCACACATACATTTATTTACTACATTCTCCCATTAAAGTTCTCTCTATCTCAAAGACAAACAATTTCAGAAGGTCATCCCTCTGCTGACTCTTCTGAAATTGCCATCAGTAGGTGACATTATATATTTAATAAAATGTTAATTCTGTGATCCTACCTAAATTGCAGGAAATCGGTAATTATATCAAAATCTTCCAGAGAACCTCAACTGAAATATGAAATTTATTTCCCGGCTTAAATTTGCAGCATGGCCGTGGGTGAAACAGTTCCTACACGTAAAGTGCCTATGAATATGTATGACTGTAAAGAGAGAGAAGAAATACCATTATTGTTCAGGAACATATCATAACTCTTGTGAAGCTTGTGTGCAAACACAAAGCTTGCCTGCTACTTGGTCTACTAGTTGAGGCTCAAGGTGGCAAACTTCTAATGTGCCAGTGACTGGACTGTTATTGTTCATTTTAAGGCCACAACATCTTTGTGTCTGAGAATAAAGGGATTTTTTTTCTCCATTAGGAACTCATGTGTTATATTAACAATGCACTGGATTATTTTGTTCTGTAATGGCGAATGCTCAACGTGTTTTCCTTTGATTAAGTAACGGATGTGACGAGAAGAAATGTGAAACATTGAAAAGCTGTTCTGCTCAGACACAGCAGTGTCTGGAAGTGGTACATCTAACTGGTAATTACTCCAACAATGTTTAAAAACTTTCTGAATAGGATGGACAATTGCAAAACTAGACTCTATTTAGTGTGCAGGAAGATGTGAAATAAAGTGGTTTATAGGTTCTGTAGGAGGGTAAGGAAGAAAGACCAGAAAAAACAGTTAAATAGTTCTTGTGGGCTGACTTAAGAAATTACTTTTTAAATACTTTGAAATTAATGACTGGATAAATGTTTTTAAACACCTATCTGGGTAGATGAGCTATCTGTGCAGTGTCAGGGTTTCCAAATAAGAGATCTGGAAGCCTAATCTTTAGGTGAAGATGATATGTGTGAAGGCCACTGTTCCCTCACAAACAACCGTTGTAACCAGATTATTTGAAAAAGGTTTTGATGAACGAAAAAGATCTCCAAAGAAATTTCAGCACACCAGGTGACTTTCTAATATTCTCTGTGACACTTTTATCAACATTTTTTTTTGAGTGAGAGTCCTAAAAGAGCTTAGAAAATAATACTCCAGTGATACTGTGTTAGACTGGATAACTTGAATACTAAGCTGAGGCTCAGGTCACCCACATTCTGCAGGTGAATTTCTTGCTGGATAATCTATGGAAAGTTATTTTAGTTATCTGTGCCTCTGCATTTCTGTTTGTAGCCATCTTCTTTTGGAAACAGCTTGAAAACAAAGTATACTATGAGACACCACAAATCACACAGTTTACACCAGCGTTTTTATTTGTCCTAAGACACAAATTGTTCTAGTCTATTGTTAAATATCTCACTGTGCTTCTTGCGTTAGTAACTATGTTTCTATAAAGAATTCTGCCTAGTTCTTCTAAATTAAGTATGACTTAGGTCACTGACTTCTGTGTGAAGGACATTCATGCTTTACAAATACCCCGTTTAACTAGATTATCTGCTCACTTCATCAAATCACTGTTTTGAGACTCCACAACATGTTCTGTTTTATGGTGATATGCCAGTGTGCATCTGATCTCATCAAATTCTGTTTGTGATGGGGAAATTATCTCACGAAAATAGCGTTACTTAATCTTGGTTTTAATTTCTGTATGCTTGGAGAGGAAGAAAATCCTATGTGGTGTTTCATCCTGTCAATGCTAATCTTTCTCCTCAGTGCTGTATCTCCAAATAGCAGATGTGTGCTTTATTGCAGTGTTGGTCCTCTTTAGCACAGCATAAAGTTTTGGCAGGAGCAAACAATTTATTGTATTAGAGTCAAACACAATCAAATGTTCCTTTTCCTGTGAAGCATGGTCAGACATTGATATTGCATTAGCTAACATTTGAACATAGCAGAGGCTTAATAAGATACATTATTACTCTCTCTAGGCTGTTTAATTAAGCCAAACAGTCGTTGTGTATCGTACATTGGTTTTCTGCCAAGGGAAAGTAAATCTGTATTATATTAGTTTCACATACCAAATGATGTTCTCCCCCCATCAGAGACTCTTTAGAAGAGCTGACACTGCTGTCACATGAACTGCACAATACAAACTGCCTTCCTATTTCATGGGACTGCCCTGTAGCTCAGTATTCTCCAGTCGCCTGAGCAAGTTTTGTGTGCAGGGAAGGCTTGTGTCTGCAGAGCTACATATTGTATTTCATTGGCCAGGGTCCCTGTTGGCTGCCAGGGACTACAGGGGTAAGCATCATAATGCCTGTCCTGCCAAAAGAACTCTTCTCCACCCCTCTGCTGAGGCAGAAAGATCTGAACTCTGGTCGCTAGGATGGCTCTTACTGGCCCTGTGGTGGTCAGGTGACAGGGGTGGGTTTGTCACTGTCTTGTCACATCATTTCTTCAGGTCCAGAAGTTTTAAGAGTTTGGGGAAACTGGGTAATCCAGCGGCATCTGCTCTGGTATTGCTCTTCAGTGCTGGGCAATCTGTGCTGCCAATCAGTGACACTGTACACAGTGATCAAGGTGAACATTCACTGTTTCCCACTGATGACATGGGAGGGGTATGGGCAGAGCAGGCACTTCTGTGCCAGTGGGTCCTACCGTTTTCTTTTAAAGCAAGAGCTGATGCAGAATCACAGAGGGAGCTACAAGCAAAGAGGCCTTCAAGGCACTTGCTTTTGGGAGTTGTTCTGTTGAATTACTGCTACAAAGCAGAGTAAGACAAAACATTTGCAGTATTTCTCCTCATAAGCAAAAATAAATTGCATGGGAAATACTGAAGTCTTTTTTACACAATTTTGAGCCTGTTTTACCCGGCAGAAATGTACATCTGCATATTGCAATGCAGAACTGTGCAGAGAGGGCGAAGCTATGCCCAAATAATCGTGCTGTAGAACTGGAAGGTGCATATTTATATCAGTGGCAGTATCACAGTGAAGGATGATGCTTTGGCTCTATTTTGCCCAGTGTCATGTGCAAAATGTTCCAGCATTTTCAAGAACGGTGAAGAAATGTCTGCCATGGTCGTGTGCTGTGTTTCACATGCTCCCACAGAGAGGCATGAATGGTTGGATGCATCACAGCGGCGTCTTTAGCACGGCTCTGGCACCGTGGTCAGATTCAAGAATGGCTCTGCTGGATTTATGGGAGGCTTCACCTGCATAACACAGTTATGATTTATCTCATGCTGAATGTTTTGGTGTTGTTTTGTTTCCCTCAACAGAAGATTAACCTGGAGTTCTATATTGACATCCATGCCCACTCCACCATGATGAATGGCTTCATGTATGGGAACATCTTTGAAGACGAGGAAAGATTTCAGCGGCAGGCTGTTTTTCCCAAGCTACTCTGTCAGAATGCTGAAGACTTCTCTTATGTAAGCCATGTTTTTCTTAATTATATTTTTCTTAGGGTTTTTTTTTTTAAGATAAACCTCTGGCTTTATTGAATTGAGTGAAATTTATTTCAGTATTAACAGAAGGCTGCTTAGAAATGTTGTTATTATTAGCTACCACTTTTCCTCTTATACTTGCCTCGTCCAGAAGTGGTAAGTTGTGATCTTATGTATGTCATTAGACACATGAACAAAAGCAAATTTTTCATCTTCCATACAAACCTTAGGTTCTGAATTATTGGAGCACTTTGTTTTTTGTCAGATCTTTTGTCTTTTGATCAGCTGGATCAGCTTCATTGTTCCATTTTTTTTATTATTTTGTCACTTATTTTACTTGTACACACTAAATAATAATATAGTAACAAAAGAAATAAAAATAACCAGCTTGAAAGAAGAGGTTAGGTAATCTTCTGTTAAAAGTTGTGGCAAAGGCAATGTATGCTTTGGAAATTCTTTGATATTACCATAGAAAACTGTCCTGGAAATAAATGGCAAGCTCTTCTAAATGAGTTGGAAAGGGGCATATGTTTTTTGAACAAATTTCTAATAAAGTAGAAGAGCTCCTTCGCATACAGTTGTTGCAGTCACTGTGCAGAAATCAAAAGATTTAAGATTGATCCAAGTGTGGCATCCTGGCCCTTTCCTTGGGTTCTTTTGTGCACCAGTTTTCCCTGAAAGCTGTGCAAGCAGAGTACACAATGCCCAAGACTTCCTGCAACAGCTTGATTGCTTCTCCTGACATATTTGTGGAGTTCCCAGCAAAGCTGCTTCTACACAGCTCTCCCTGTCTCTGTTTCCATCTGTGCACTGCAGGTTGGCTTAAGTGGACTTGCGTAAGAGATGTTTGCATAAGTCTTTTGCATAAGAGGTATTTGGTGTTCTATTTTGCCTTGACTGGAAAAAGGAGTATTCAGAAATACCTCTCAGCTAGGGCATGAGCTGTGAAGAGGTGAAGCAGTGGGTGATATTTTGCAGCTATATAGTGGAACGGTCTCCATTAAAAAAATTACTTTGGAATCCTGTACCAAGCGAAGAAGAGCAGAAGAACCTACTGGTTTTATATCTGTTATGTTCTTTAATGCCTTTATTACCCACCACATGTTTTCTCAGTCTCTGACATCCCCTTTTTGCTTATACTTCATCCACCTGGTACTGAAAGATGAATCTGCATCTCCTGTCAGTTTGGGACAGCTGGGTCATGGTGTCTGCCTCCTCTGCAGTGCCACCCCAGCCAGCTTGTGGCAGAGGTGGTGGTAGAGGGAGGATAGGGACCCTGCACCATTCCAGATGTTTAGCTCTAGAGAAACAAAATTTAAAGCAGATACAAAAGCAGACGAGTCCATCTGTTCTCAGCTGTTTGGAACCTGGGGAAGAGGGTCCAAGGAACAGCCTCTTATCCGATGAGACCTCAGTGATTGAGTTTCTTATCTGCACCTGGTTGTTTCAAAAACACATTACAGATAAGGGGCATTCACAGATCATAGCAATGAAAGCCTGCAATTGATAGGAGTTGAGAAATTTTGTGCTCAAGTGCGGGATTTCTCTCTGCTGCTGTGGGAGATTAAGTGTTCCTCGTAGCACAAGCCTTGGTTGACAAAGGGAAAATCTTTGAGAAAATGATGTAGGAAATGGAAGCCAGTAGCTAAATAAACAGCACAGTCTCTCCCCTTTGACTCTCGATCTCCTTCCTGTAGGAGCTGGCAATCAGATAGATATGCTACCACCCAGTGCACCAGAGTTCAACCTTGGTGCTACTGGTACTCCCTACCATTGGCTTCCAGCTGACATCCTACTGGTCTCTTGAGACTGGAAGCTTTTCCCCACCATCCATCCAGGCCCTTCTTCCCAGGGCAGCTGAGTGGATGTAAGTGTTGGAAAAGGACAGACACCAACTGTGTGATGTGTGTGAAGTGACTACTACTGCTGTCTCCAAGCGGGAAAGTCGTTTTTCTTGTTTTCAGCTCTAACCATGNATTGTATGCTGCTGCGGCCATTTGTTGGGATTATAATACTTCAACAGCAGCACTTCAAGTGAAAACTGGCGACTGCATGAAGTGTTGTCCATAATTGACTAGCTCCATGTCTTCACACAGCACAGAGACAATGTTCCATTATGCTATCCATTGACAGTATCATTGAAAAGATTACTCTCCTTAAAGCATCTGTCAACCTTGATTGATTTACAAGGGACAAAGAACTGAAAAGGTTTGAAGTGCGGGTACAATTTTTGCCACCGTTTAGCATACATAATGGTTCTCCTTTGATGTCAAAAGCTCATCTTCTATTAATAATGCAGAGGGCTTTTGAATGCAGGCTACTTGTATGGAGTTCCACACTAATAACCTACTTGCTGTGAAATGGGATTCACTTTGGAGAAGCAGTCATTTGGGTTTTACATGTTCGGAATGAATCCCAACTCAAAGGGATTTATTTCAGTGCTCTGCATGATTGCAGCTGAGCCCGGCACGGGTTAGGGAGAGCAGGCAAATCCTAGCCTGCTCCTCCAGCCGAGAATCTGGCAGAAATCACGCAGCCAGATGCAAAGGAGCATGAACAACAAGCCTAAGATGATGTGATCAAATGCCTTGTGCCGTTTTGTCTGGCAACCTTCTATTAATATACTTTAGAGTGCATTTCATGCCTGGGCTGCTTCCTTCACCTGTCATTTCCAATAGGCCTTTTTTATTTAAATGACAGCATCCAAGGGAGATTGGTGATTAGAGCAGGGGATGGATAGGGGATTTGTGCCCACATGGCTGTTGTAGGACCAAATGAGAGTCACCCAATGTCTCTGTACTCTATCTGTTGGGCAAAACACTTGACCTCGCAGCACTCTGGAAGGCTGGCTGTGGTTTGCAGGCATAAGTTGTGAAAGGGACCAGAAATTCCTCATTTGTACATGACTTCAGACACAGAGGCCTGCCTTTGGTTTAGCTATCAGCACGTGAAGAGGAAAGTGAAAGAAAGGCTAGGAAGTTTTGCTCCCAAATAAATACATGAGACATTCTTGGGCAGCTGCCTGGGCAAAAGGGACAAAATCTGTAAGGAAAACATTTTATATTTTTAATGTTTAAGAAGGATATTTTTAAACACTGTGGAGTAAATATAATCTGTATGAGGGCTCTAACAGTAAGAGCTGACAAGCTCTTTTGAAAGGCTGACTCATTGGGTTTTGGGAGCAGCTGTTGACACCATGTCGGAGTGCATTACACATCAGCCATGGCTAGGAGTAGTTGCAGTATTTGGAGGGCTGTTCTTCATTTGACCTTTCTTGTTCTAGAGAGTGGATTAGTCATAACGACCAGACACAAGCACTTGAGCATTTCAAGAACCTGCTACTCTTAGGGGTGGCTAATTTTGACCTCTGTGACAGTATGAGAGGAGACCATCTGTTCTCTCTGGTTCATTTAAAAGAAACAACTGCAACCATTCTTGAATGGCTTTATCACTTCATAAAGATTGCTTTTCTTTGCAGTTAAAGGAAAAAGGCTTGGCCTGATCTTATTAGGTTTTTTTTTCCTTTGGACTCCAAACTAGTGGCAGTTGGGATACCTCTGAGTTCTCATTTAATTTTCTTGTGTTCGATCTCCCAGCAGAGCACGTTTCTTAGAAATACAGCTTGTCCTTTGTTTGCCATGGTTAGCCAAAGATCCTGATAAAAACTTGGGGTCTCATTCTGTTGGTCACTGGGTAACTACTGAGGAAGTTACCCCAAGAATTTCTAGTCGTGCTGGGAAAGAGATAGAGAGTCGGTGGGAAGTTATTTGCTCAGAGAAACTGGAGAATAAAACTTGAATCCTTCAAGTGCCAGTCTGGTTTCTCTCTATACTTTTTACCTATTGCCTTTGATCCACATATTCTGGGTCTGTTGTTTTCATTTCCACACTACCCCTTTCATCCAAGCTTTCTTAGAGAAGATGTGTTCATTCCAGAAAACCTCCTCTCACAGCAGCCTCGCTGGGTTCTTATGATCTACCCTGGCTGGACGTCTCCCTCTTAGTCTTGGAATCCCTGTTATTAATCCCAATGTGTTTTGGGCCATGTCTGAAGGAAGTGCTGGCACAAGTGCTTGAGAGAGTAATATCAACTCCTGAACACTGAATAACCAAACCCCAATAATCTGTTGTAATCAGTTTGTGTTGCATATGGCTGGGCAGGGAAGGGGAAGCAGTAAGAAATTTGCTCAGGCCTAGCCTTTATCCTGAAGTAAATTCCATACTCACTTGCACCATCGTGTCCTAAGTGCCTCTCTCCCGTTTTGGCAAAAAAAGACTCTTGTCCCAGAAAGGCCAAAGCTGTTGCATTCAGGTAGGTTTTGTTAATATCATGCAAACTTAACAGATCTACTCAGAAATCTCTTTAAACCTGAGCACAACAAATGATCCTACCTCCTTTTTTGTTGTCTTCTACCGAGGAATATCCAGGAAGACAAATACAACTATTATGTGCTTTAGCACCCCTCTGGGATGTATTTCTGCTTGATGCTTCTTGGCCATGTTGCTCTATAAGTTCATTTATTTATTTATTTATTTTTCCTGGAGGCTGGGTGAGGTGAGAGAGGAAAAGTGTTTCTGGTGGCACGGGGAACAGATTGTAAAGCCTGTGTCTCTAAGGGTTATAGGCTTTGGTCTCACAAGAATTCTGCCCTCTGGAGAGTCTCAGAAAGTGCAACAGCTCCGTTAGGTCGTGCTGCACCAGTCCACCTCTCTTTTTATATATAGGGTTGAATTTTTATGGCAAAGAGAAGGAAAAGCAGCAGGGGAAGGGGGGAAAGTACTTGAGCAATTGGGTTTTCTTTCATTACCTTCTTGCCTTGTTGTTTGTGCACACAGGAGTTGCCAGTCCCTTCTCCATCCCCACACAGGTAGAAATTTAGAATATCCACAGAAGAAACAAGTTTTCATAGCGATCTTATGGTGTATTTTCAAAGACCACCATTACTCTGACCTAATGTCAACATGCTGGGAGCAGGTGACAACCTC